CTCCCTACCTAACTACCTACCTACCTACCTTCCTCCCTCCCTACCTAACTACCTACATATATACCTTCCTACCTACCTTCCTACATATCTACCTCCCTCCCTTCCTCCCTTCGTCCCTACCTACCTACCTACCTACCTACATATTTACCTTCCTACCTACCTACCTTCCTCCCTCCCTCCCTCCCTCCCTCCCTACCTACCTAACTACCTTCCTCCCTCCCTCCCTACCTACCTACTATTCTACCTACCTACATATCTACCTCCCTCCCTCCCTCCCTCCCTACCTACCTACCTACCTAACCACCTTCCTACCTCCCTCCCTCCCTACCTACCTACCTACCTCCCCACCATCTATCTATCTTCAAAACACAATTCCATAAGTAGCACATTAGAAAGCAATAACAGCAGTAATAATTATAATATAGGTTTAACTGGTGTCCATTATTGGAGTCAAGCAGATCTTCAGTATAGCAGGCAGGCAGCAGCATCGATCAACAGGAACATAGGAGACAAAGGGGAACAAAAAGTCCTCAACAGTTATGTGTTAAGGAATTTGCATTAATGGGACATGAACGCGCTCAGAAGACGGAGCCTGTTGTGTAACATCCTCTGGTAGTCTAAGCCTTTAAGCAGCATTAGAACGTGTTGAAGAAAAGGAGAAATTATTGATTGACTCAAACAGTAGGAAAAAAAAAAAATTGCAGATATTTCCCCTTTTTAATTAAAATCATTGTTATTGACTCTGGGGGATGGTATTGAGTAGTTTGAGCTTGATTATGTTTGAAGTGAGTAAAGTAGTTTAACCAAAGACTCCCTGTTTCTTTCACTGCACCATTACATCTGATGAAAATATTCATCCAGTTTCTTGTTTTGTGCATCATTTCACACACATTTCCATCCCTAAATCCAGAGTCCCTTTTTGTATCTTTGGACGGGTTCTGTGGGTTTTTAACGATGTTGGAAGTAATAACATGACTTTGTAATGACTTCTGGTGCGGTGTGGAACACGACAAGCAGATTATGGGGCAATAACAAGCATATAAAGATTCATAAAATGTAATCATGGGGAAAAAGAGGTCATCAGGACAGTTTATAAAATTCTGAGGAGCGTCCCTGTAGGTCAGGCCTATTCAACTGGCGGCTCAGGGGCCACGGATGACATCAGACTGGTCCGCAGTTCTATTTATGATTAATAAATTAATTAATTATAAAGGAGGGGAACTTGTGAATGACCCAGGCCCTTAGCTCTCTGATAATTTGCCACCTTAACAATATATTTGCAAAGAATATTTGGCTTTTTGGTCGATATTATTGAGATGCATTTGTCTTCACATTGCTAAGTAAGGTTGCACAGTTTGTCCATAGTTTACACATTATATTGTTTAAAATTATAGTAATTATCGTATTTCCTTAATATAATTGTATGTTACTCTAAGTAACTTTATCCTAGCTGACAGATATGCATCAATGATTCCCTCTGAAATGTATCAAAGCCAACGATACGAGGCATAACCTTAAGAAACACATAAGTTGAGTGCATGTGCGTTAAACCTTTACCAAGGCAAAGCCTACAGATGGATATTAGGTTTCACATCAGGACATCCATTTGGCAGATGAATTTTTTTGAAAGCACACTATTGGGAGCAATTTAAGGTTTCAGTGTCGTTCTCAAGGACACTTAAAAATATGTCTTCAGTAAAGGAAGAACCCGCTCTGTCAGCTGTGACACGAACGCCTGAGTGATGAGTCTGATGTTTGAATTTAGAACAGAAACAAAAAGAGATTAAATTAAGAAACATTTGTATTTTTAATGCACAACAAAAAACTGGGGATGTTTGACACCATATGATCAAGAAAGAAAGATTATCATGGGGATATAAAAGTGTAGTTTCTCTTTTTCAATGTCTTGGCCTCACAAACACATCTAAAGGCCAAAGAGATTTGTCAGATTCTTCAATTTCAAAATTCTGTCTTTGTTCAAACGCTGAGTTTGTTTTTGCTGCACAAAAGGTTCAGGTCGTTGAAAAATAATCCTCCTTTCAAAGAATATATTCTCATGCCCAATGGCAATGAGAGAAAGGTTCCTCAACTGTGAAGTGCAAAAGCTGTGTCTGCTATAATGAAAATCTAATATTGTCGTGAACAATGGCTGTTGTACAAGGCAAATTGATTACAGTGTTGACCGTCATGGTGTAAAAGTAGACGAAGATTCAAACCGAATGAGATTTCCTTTCTCCTCTGCTGCATTATATCCTCTTATGAGTCTCACTTCAGCTGAATTGTTCCTGAAGTATCACAAGGGAAAACTATCAAGATGGCAAAGGGAGAACAAAGGAGACAGCGGCGTTCCCTAAGGAGGCAAAGCCGTATAATATCCTGAATGAAAAATTAACTCAATAAAACAGACCTGTGTAAGGAAGAGGCTGAATGTGTGTGTTTGTTGAATGAAAGCACGCTAATGCCCTCTCTCTTTAAAATCAGAAGGTTATAGGACCAATTGTCTTCCTCACTTAGGAAGACATAGGCTTCTTCTTTTTGTGTTCCTTTCTTCCCCTCCACACTCTCGTCTGTGAGCCTCCCTCGTCTCTCCTGCTCTCCGGGGAGCTGTGGTTTCTGAAAGGTTTCTCAGTGTCCTTAATCCCTCCATCTCTTTGTGTCCAGGCAAAAAATATATCCGCATGAAACTCAAGAGGCCGACAGGGGCCTGAGACGTGTGAGAAAAAAGAAGAGCCGCTTTCCAGCCATTTGTGGGAGTTAAAAACAAAAGCGGAGAGCTGCTCTTATTGTCAGATAAAACCCAATTAGGCTTATGTTTAAAGACTGGCATAAAGCTTTCACTCAGGTTCAGAGAATTAAAGCAATGGTTTGATTTCACTCATTTTTAATTGCTAAGATTTATCCCAATTAGGGGGAATGGCAGACAGCTTTAATCATCGTTTTCTAAACGAATACTGGAGAAATACCATATCTACTGTATCTGAAAACCCTTATAGAGGTGTGTTATATAGGGACTATGGATAGTGTACACAAGTGATTATAAAAAAAAATATATGCATGCTAGGGGGTTGGGCTAAAATCTGAGTCACTCAAATAATAATAATAATAAAAAAGGAACTTTAAAATTGTCATGATACCATTTAAACACAGCCTGCCAAAGTTTAGAGTGAATGAAAACTAGTTAAACAAGCAGAAATGTTTGAGAGCTAAATGGACATTAATAACTGTTGATATTTAAAAGTAATTGATTGAAGAATTGTTGAAAGACTTAGCCATGAGTATAGCTCAAATAGATACCTCAAAGTGCTTTCCTGAACCTGTTGTCGAGAGCTGGAGATAAATGAAACCTCCGAATAGCCAATCAGAGAGATTCCTCTCACCCATCAAAAGACACATAAATAGTTAAAACATTAGCTTGGATTCATTTCATAAAGCATTAAATTAAAGTCAAAAGTAAAAGTAATTAATACATTATACGAAAAAAGATACCCTAGTTAAATATTTGAAATAGTTAGCTTAGGAGTAAACGGTTGTAATAGCTGGCTGCAATTACCTTTGTAAACGGTTAGCTAAAATAATGGATTGATAGTTTAAGCAGTTAGCTAAAAATAATAAATGGGAGGGAATAGGGGGGGAGTCATGGGTGAACAGGCCAGGACTGAGTACACAGCCCTGTGGCACACCTGTGTTCAGAATAATGGTTGAGTATGTGTCGTTACCAATTCTGACTAAATGGTTGAAACAGTAAGCTTAAAGTGTTTGAAATCAAAGATTGTAAATAATAGTTATATACTGTTACTATAGGTTTAATGCAACATATGGTTGAGATAGCTTACGTTAGGAAGGTTTGGAGTAAGTGTTGTATAGAGACAAGATGGCACAGGTGCAGAAGGTAGGCAGCATACAGATAAAGGAAAGAGGGGATACAGACACTCAATATTTCAAGCTCACTTAGACTTTCAAGATCTTCCCCAGGCAGGTTTGACTCGACATGTTGCATCATTAAATTACAGGTTTTGTAACATTAATATTTGAGGTTTTTTTCTTCATTCCTACAGCCCCGTCCTGCGTCGGCTAATAAAAAGAACTCACATTAGCTGTTTTGTACATCATCATCATCATGTCTTTATTTGCGTGTAAACAAACTCTGAAAAGAGCATCAGCCAGGTTCTTGATTATTGGCATTAACATGATTCATTTCATTTGCAGTCATGGATAAAACATGATCACTCTACTGCAAAAAAGGGATACTAAAGGTGTATTGAGACAAAACACAAAGTCAATCTTGCATTGCTTTTTTTTTTCCCCAAGTCAACACGGCCCGTATTCAAATTGCATTACACAATAATTTGCCCTTACAGCCAATGAGTGATTCATCTGGATAGCATACAGCGACAGGTTTGATCTCAATTTCTGAATCCTGGTGACCCTAACAGGAGAATGTCATCGCTAATGTTTGCAAAATCTTTGAAATTGCATGAAGACGTCGCTGCGTTGGCTGGTGAAAATTCAAGTATTTACCTTTACTCGTCTTGAATTGCGCTATGCAAGGAAAACTTGGCTTTGTGTTCGTTCTGAATACACTTCTAAATAAGTCGTGTCCTACAACCTTTCCTTTCACACTTGTTTCCTTCAAAGTCTCAGAATTGAATTTATTAGCTATAACTTCAACCTAGCGGATCATCGTGTTGATTTCAGTGTTTGAAAATCGTATTGCCTTGTCGAGTCTTGAGGTGAGGGAAATATTCTCACTTCTCGACAGACTTGAATTTGTAACAATAAATAAGATTTGAGGACTTCATAAATGACTTATTTGTTGTAGTGGCCTTTTTTGCAGCATGTATAATAAATAACATGACACTTCCATACTAACTGTCTGCGACCTCAGCTCAGTCTAGCAAAGCAACTTCATCTCGTCTCACTTGGTGTATGCAGTGTTTCTCACTACTGTATAAGGTGCTGGTGTGTGTGTGTGTGTGTGTGTGTGTGTGTGTGTGTGTGTGTGTGTGACAGAGAAATGTCCTCGTTTGGGAATGTGTTTATTGTTGTTGTTGTGAGTATGTCGGTGTGTCTGTGATTGTGGTTAAGATTTGGACACCACTGCGTGTCCCGAGGCTTATTAGGTTAGTAGTTCAACAAATCATTAAATATGTAACAGGTGAAGATTTGCAAAAATAACCTTCTTAAAAACAACGAATAAAAAGGTCCGCAGCGATCACAGCAGTAGTGTTAAGAACTGAGTGCAACATAATCCGCTTAGTCACTTCCATTGTACATGAACAACAAATATATTTACAATCAAAAACAAAACAAAAAAAACCCAAACAAACACATAATTCATAAAAGAAATGTAACCACATTCAGAACCACAGACGAGTCATTGTGGGACTTGCACTGAGTGAGAATGTCAAGTGTAGTGTTTGAGTGTGTGTGCAGTTTACTGACCTATTCTGACTGGCATTAGGCTTTGTGTAGTAAGCAGACAACTCCACTTTCACACATATACCGCTGGCCTTAAAGGTGAATGCTCTGCCTGGAAATCAATCAGTAAGAAAGCTCCAGCCTCCATCTTCAATGACAAAAAAAAAAAGAGGTCTATTTCCACCATGAATTGTCCCAAATTGCAGATCAAGAGACAGATCATGAGAGTTGAACTATTCAGCGATTTTACACTCTCAACAAGCGCATCCCAAAGTTTTAGGGTTGCTAACAGAGCTAGTACGCTAACTGTAGCGTTGCTTTTTAAGAATCAGCAGCAGTTGGCCAAATAGGCTTCAAGATTTAAGCCGGGTCCTCTCCAAAGAAAAAAACCTGTTTTAAGGTTTGTAGGATCCAAACTTACAAGCACCGACACAAACAGCAACTCCAACAACACACCCCCATACTCCCAGGCTACGAGGAAGTAGATATCAATGTGAGCCCTGATGTGTTTTGGTATATATTTGAGTGTTTCTTAAAGCTGAGCAGAACAAGATCAACCCAGGTAAAACCCTGTTGATGCATGACAAACTGTATCGGAGTTGGATTATGCCGAATATGCAGTGGCTGTACGATGTGAAAATAAGAGATTTAAGTTTGAAAGCTGAAATGGGGAAATAGGTTGAATGACATAAAAAGTTCTCAGAAAGTAAACGTGTTGGCCACAGTTTGGGATCAAAGTGAAGCTAAATCTTTAGATGTGGTTATACTCTGATGCGACCGGTACACAATATCCAGCATTCATGCAGAGAGGGGGGCTTGCATGTCACTTCTTCCTCCACAGAAATAAGGACAAACCGAACGGAGGAAATCTGTCTGCGAGTTTGTCTTTGAAGAGCGAGGCTGGAGTGCCTTTGACAAACTGGTTTCTGAGCTGTTGCAACTCCAAAAGAGCATCCTCCTTTTGTTGTGTGCCGCTATGCATTCATATCTGTGTGTGTGTGTGTGTGTGTGTGTATGATTGGCTGTGTACGTGTGTGTGTGTGTGTGTGTGTGTGTGTGTTGAATCCTTCTATCACACCTCCTTTTAAGGCTTTCAAGCTGCTTTGGATCAAAGTCAGTCCCAGGGGATAATTCAGCATAAACATAGAGTTCAGAGACATCGTAGCCTACCTTTCACGTCGTGCTGAATTCAATTTCCAGACACATTTCAACACATACTTGATCTTCTGATTCACAAAAGGAGGCAGATGTCCCTCCAGCCGAGCTAATGTTCTACTGGCATCATTGTTTTGTTTTGAAAACTTCATCTGACTTCATCAAAAAAAAAAAAAAATTATTTGTTTCTGGGTTTTGAAAAATGTTAAATGCTCCAAATGCTTAGACCTTAATGTGGATTAGGGCTGAAGAAAGAGTGTAGTTAATAAAAAATTAAAAAAACAAGGGGCGGTATTCACGTCTAAGACTTTCAGCCGTCGTCTCAGAAGTTGCGAGTGCAACAGATGTGCCACAGACTAAATCAAAGATTTATAAAGAGCGCAAAGGGGGGAAATCGAGGCAGAGAATTTGTTATAATGTTAAAATGAACCCCACACTGGCCACGAGATTAGAACAGATAAACAGTACATTAGGCTTTACGCATCATAATTACCGATAGATATATAGCAGTCGCAGCCATCGCCATCCAGTTTTTGAAACACGTTTGACTAAAAGGGAGGGGACAGGAAGAGGAGAACTTTTTTCTTTCTGGAGTTGGATTTAAATAAATATTCTGTTTTTTTTTTTTTTTTTCTCTTTAAAGCCATCTTTTCCTCCTGCCTGGCGAATAAGGAACATGGTGCTGAAGGGTTTTGATTGGGGGCTCTATGTGAAGTTCTGGAGGGGTTGGCTGACCCTCATGCAGGCCCAGTAGAAGGCCCGCGCCATGGTGATGACAACCAGGAGCAGCAGCACGGCCCAAGAGGCGTAGATCCCCTGGTAGGTCTGCGCCTGCACCCACGTTCCAGCCTGAAGAGAGGACGACACAACAGACGGGGTTTTTCAGAAAAATCAGATGCTGCTTTGGAGAGTCTTTAAAAAAAGGATTTATGAGCATTTCTCTGAGTGTGTGTTGTGGTGATTATAATGAGACAGCTCAAGTCCAATCAGGCGAAAGAAATCAGAGAGCTAAAGCTACAATTAGGCTGGAAAATGTTTTATGTATTCATATCTGACCCATTTAGATTATTTTGCAAACTGAAAAATTCAAACCAAGTACCCAGAGATTTTTTTTGCTGTCGTCGTAGAAGATCAACCAGTCGGACTATGACAACATTACAACATTACAATATTTTTTAATACGACACACGCTCACTTGAGAGATGCTACTATGTGTCCCTAATCCGTGATTGATCCACCTGCATCAGACGCTGAATTTTTTTGGGAGTTTAAGCTGCAGACATTTCCATGTTCACTGTTCAGTGCTCAAAAGTGACTGAGGGGCGAGAGGGAAAATAGCTTCCCATCAAGTATTGAGCATGTGCAGCTGCTCAGAAGAAAATTATTTAATGAAGATGGTAAAAGTGACTTTGAGAGAACCCACAGGGATCGTCTGAGAATATGGAAATGTGAATTTCTGTTTCAAAGTCACAAGAGTGGAGCAAAGCTAATATGAGTTTTTAAAAACCAGAAGGAGAATTATGAAACTTGAGTTAGGAAGATTGTTTATGACACATTGTTATACTGCTGTGAGGTTAAAAAAATCCACGGAACTGAACTGACATATAAGCCCCGTTTCCACCAAGCAGTCCGGTTCAGTTCGGTTGGGTACCAAAATACTGTAAACAACCCCATTAAGACCCCTGGAGAGCTCCCTAATGATGCACATGTCTAGCTTCTATATTAAACCACAGAGCATTTTTAAGTCCAGGACTTTGCGTCATCATCATCATCATCATCATCATCATCACTTCAGGTTGGTTTCTGTATGCTAAGTTATGCGCTTTATTACCAGTTAAAGAAAAGCTGTGAAGGCAGCCAAATCGAACCATCAAAGCAGCTCATGAAGGCTGAAAAAAATATTATATACGCTTAAAAAAAAAAAAAAAAATGTATACCTCAGCCTTAAATGAAAGTCTTCCCTCTTCTTGTGTAAGTGATGTGTAAAGTTTAATGACTCAGGCGGCTCACAGGGACCATAACATTTTAACTGGCATCTTTGAGCTCATGCTGCTCAGCTGGGGACACGCCACAGCTGCTGCAGTGATGAATGTGCTTAACTTCCTTAATCCTTAACCACCTCCGTGTTCTGTTGAACCACTGCTTGATTATTCGCGATGGAGAAAATTGCATTCGCTCAGATACTTGTCTTTGATTTTTTTGCCGATAAAAGTTTACTAACGCAGCGTTGAGATTAAACTGTCAAACCTGTGCTGTGGTGCGAGTCATCTGATTGAAAACCGCCTTTACATTAAACACGGGCTGCTTTTATGTCGGGACATTAATTGCCTCCACACCAGAATTATGCAATGCTGCCAATACTGCAAATGTATTCTGTGCACATTGCTTACTGCTCTCCATGCGGGCGGGCACTCACTCATCCAGTGTTTAATGTGTGTATTCTGTGTGGTGCCGTTTCACGTTCATCTTGCTCCCTCTGCTGTTTCAGAAGAAGAATGCATCGACTCTTTCTTTCTTTCTTTGAATCCACGTCTACTTTTAGACTTTTTCACTCCTCTTAGTTTATACAATTGTTTCACAACTTCTTCAAACATGAAAAATAAAAACAGGAAGCTGAACTTTTTTTCTGCATTAAGAGCCTTGAAGAATTGGAAAAGGGAAAGAAAAGGTCAATCCTAGTCAAGATTTATATAATCTGTTGAACTTTTCAGCGGGTGTAGAGGCGGCTGTTGCAAGCTGAACTTTGCTTACAGCGCAGAGAGGTTCTGTTTGTGCAATTTCTCTCAAACAAATGGCGGCTTGTCAGACGGTGCCAAGAGAGCAGCTGTGAGGTGAACACCTTCACTGTTTAAAGAGCGGCAGCAAAAGGACAGAGTGTAATAGTACACCTTTTTTTTTATTCTAAGAATGTCTTTTGAGAGCTCAATGTTTAAAAGATGAGACAACATTTAAATATTTTGTGACATTTTAGCCCCTAAACATGTCACCGTTGATGATGTGTATATACTTAACAGAAGGTCTTGATATCTTGGATGTTAGTTTTAGTTCCCAGAAATATTTTCCTGGTAAAATAGAGATAAAAAGATGAAAAATAAAAACAAAATAGTAAGGCGTCCTGGATGGCCAACTCACTATCAGCCCCGCAGTTGAGATGACGAATAGCAAGCAGAGTAGAAAACACCACAAGCTCCGCCTCCGGGGATACCTCTGACCAATAGACGAGCTGCAGAAATGAATAAACAGACGACAGAAATCAATTTGATTAGAACAAAAATATACAAACCCAGTGATAAAACTCTGTGTCCTTCTGAGAACTAAGTTGTTGTCAAAGCGAGCATTTTGACGAGTCAAACTCTAAAATAAAAAAATCAAGCTATCAGCCAACAGCTTCAAGGGTTTCATGTAGTATACAAGGTTGTATGTTAGTGAGTATATACATGAAATATTCATGTAAACAGCAGCGCATTCCCGCTACAAAGACCTTGAAACCAAAGCAGATAGTGCCATTTTGAAGTCAACAATTGTATGATTTTACATCAGTCTTTTTTCTACTGTGACCTGTCCCATGGTTTTGTTGTGATTAAGTATTAAGGACGGTGGTTAAAAGGAAAACCTTGGTTATGCCTGCTAACTCACAGCCCCCCCACAGTCCCATGAACTTTGCTCACATTCTTAAGACGCTTATTCAGACAGTGATATATGAATGTGGTTTGTGGTTCAAATCCTTCTGATCAGAAAGCTCCTGATGTTATGAGACAGATGTTAACACTCCGAAGCGGGTGAGGAAAAATGTGTTGCAGCATTTGAGGTCAAAGACAAAAGCCACACAAACCGGATACCATGTGTGTGTGTGTGTGTGTGTGTGTGTTCTGTCCTTGAGAAAGACCCTGACGCTGCTCACTCCACGCAGGTTTCACTGAATAAAAGCTGCAGCTAAGAGCCTTGACAATGTAAAACTACTATTTACAAGTAAAGTGAGACTGAAAGGGTATAATGGATGAATTGTTTATAGCTACTTACACTTTCCTGCAGTGTGGGCACCTGGCCAGCGTCCGGTCTGTGAACTCTGTCCACTGCAATTACAAAAAGGAAAGACATGTAAGCTTCAGCTTCAAAACACACACAAAGAAAAAAAACATGTTTTTCTCAAATGTGCACAGGAAGAAACGGCCTTCAACAAATATTACATTCAGAATATTTCTCATCAATTGATATTCTAACTGCTTACACCTTTCCAATCAAAAAGTTTCAGACAATGCATTTGGCTGGAAATCAAAAGTGCATATTTATAGTTGTAAAGTCCTTCACTACTTCTTTATGCTGTGTCTGCATCTGGAATTAAGAATGCATGTCTTTGTATTGGCCATAAGGTTTTATTATAAGTGCTTGGAGGAGACGTTTGGGTTTGTTTCATAGACTGTTAATATTAATGGATGAAGCCTGAGTGACGTCAGCCATCTGTTCCTGCAGGGGGGTCAGGAGGCTCATCGGCAGCAGCCGCCATGCTGGAAATCCTGTTAGGCCTAACGACAGGCTGAGAGCTGGAGCTGAGGCGGGTTCTAAGCCTCTTGACACCTGTCAATCATGTCAGCTACACGCCTAACTATGGATAACACGTATCGTTCATCAAATCAAAACAGAGGCGTTTTTAAAAACAAAATCACGCCCCTTAAAGTGTGTGCCAGTGATGACAATAACCAATCACAACTATTTAGTTTTTTGTAGCAGGCTGTGAACATGTTTATTAATGCTGTAAAAACAGCCTTTTGGCCTGTGGTGTGTATGTGATTCCCGGTGTTCCTGGAGTCAGCATCAAGCCGACACTCGACGACCTGCACGATTTTGCACTTCCACATTGGCTTCACTTTTCAAGACAGGAGGCCGTCTAAGTACAGTTGTTGGTAATATCTGAATAATGCAAACTAAAATTTGAAAAATAAAGAGTTAAAGGCCTTCCCTGCAATATCTTTTTTTTTTTTTGTCTTGACCAACAAAGCAATACATTCTGGTAACGTCACTTTGTATAAATACTGTAAAGCCCTAAAGTCACAAATCAAAAATCTGTCATCCTAAATATTTAACTGTCAATGATACAAACCAGAAAGAAGCAACAACCCTCACATTACAAGACCTTAAACAAATCTCTCCCTCTAAGCCAAAGTACCCCAGTGAACAGGTGAGAGAGGTCCATACAATGACCGCCATCATCACAATAATTTCCTGGTGAAAACGCTCACCACCAATACTGAATAGACTGTAAACAATAGATACAATCTGACCTTCATTTTTGGCTTCTATACTAACTGCTGGAGAGAATTCAGATGACAGCTGATTGATTAAACGACAGTCCAACTCATTTCATTAATAAACTGAAAATGCAGCACTGATGAGGCTGGTGATGTGACAGACCTAATGTCACAGAGCAGCGATGTATAAAGAAACAATAAACCCTTTGTCAAAATACAGACTGTATCTGGCTGCTGCATGAATTGATGATATATTTCACACACAGCCGTTCCAGTCCTCGCCAACTAGCGCCGCATGCCATCCAAAAAGCTGAGAAAGAGAAATGGGTTTCTCTCTGTCTCTCTGGGAGTCAACATTTATTCCCTCTCTTAACACTGCGGTGTGATACATTCGTTCACCCTGCAGAGCCGGACGCACTTGTGTGTGCTGTACATCCCTCTTGTTCTGATAGAAACGCTCTGTATGGGAAGCGCGGAGAACATTATCGCCAGATCTGCGACAAAAGGATCACGGCGACGCCACCCAGGGCACAGATTTGTATTTTCATTCAGCCGCGCTGTCTTCAAGCAGGTAGAAAAGGTCCGCCTGAATGCTAAGCAGCCTGAACCATCCGTCTCACCTCTTTTAGCACTTCACCCCGCTGTCTCTGACTCCTTTCTTTCACCATATATCCAAACCGTCTCCCCCTGTCCCACACATTGTTAAGAGGGCAGTAAGTTAAATTTCGCTTCCTCTTTAGCACAAAACGGTTGAAATATATCAGCAGAGGGCTGATAGGGTTATTGATCTGCTCCAGTAACTTAACATTTACTTGGCGCTGGTGCTAAGAGGTTTTAGCTCCTCTATAATTCACTGTTCTGGCCGTGCTACAGTACGTTTCACAACAAAAAAAACCTCAGGCCTGCTGAAACTGTCACAAGATATTTCAGCCACAAATTACAAAAGCTTCACTCCAAAGCAAAAGAAAGACAAAGGAAAAAGCTGTTTTATTACTAAGCTACTTTGCATACAAATACATAAACTATTCAACAACGTTTTATTGGTTCTTGGCTCGAGACAGTGAAGTTCAATACAGGAGAGCTGAGGATCAGTGCCAGAGACTTGGACAGTATTTGTATGATAAACTCCTCGGAAATAGAAAATAAATGCAACATATGCCTTGAAACAGTCATTCTTACTAATGGGGACTAGACTGGTTAGAAAAGAAAAGAAGTCTGATTGTGTTGATGTGTGGAAATGTACCCACTTCTAACTTAGTTACATTTGTTCTCACAGGTTGATGTTCTCAGCCCCTAGATTGAAGTCTTTCTCGATCCCACTGTGAGTCAAATCAACAAGTCAAGAAGGGTATGTTTGAGGGTGAATCAAGAAAGAGAAATGTTACACTGAGCATCTACCCTCTAAACCAACTATGCTCACCTCTGGCACAACAAACAAAACAAGAGGGTGAAGGCATAAATACTAAATTAGAGGCTTCAAATCAGTAGAGGGCAGGCTACATTTTCTTATTTGCCTTTCAGCTAAAACTTGGATAAACAGATTAATAACATACTTATAGTTTTGCAAAATAGCACAGGTCTCTGGTCTCGATTTTAAAAACCTTTCAATAAAAAGACGACACACTGAGGTTTAACAGGCGTTCTGTTCAGGATTATTTATGAACATGTAGCAGTGATTTCCAGTGTAGATGTGATCTTAATTGCTCTGTTAAGGCTTAGAACTGTTGTTGCTTTATCTGATGAGTTTTCTTAATGGATTGAGAGATTTAATGAGTTCACTGCTGAGCTTCACACATTTTGATGAATGAATTTTGTAACTTTGGGACAAAACTAGACCGGCAGTTTTCTCCTGTTTCCCGTCTTTATGCACTGGCTGGATAGCAGACGGACAGACGTGAGACTTGATCTTATTAATCAAAATCATGGCAAGACAGCAAATTTCCCAAAATGTGGAAATGTTGCATCAACTTTGAATCAAATGTAAAATGAAGCAGTAACCTCCGGTTGTTGAAAAATGAAGCAAATGAGGAAGTGCAAAAAAGAACTGCAGATCCCAGGTGTCCAGTTGAGGCTGGCTCCAAAAAAAATGAAACCAATGAATTACCATTAAAATGACTCTTTATACAGCAGGAAGCCAGGTTAGAAAAATAATGTATCAGTATCAGTAGCTCCTTTCTTTATAGGCACACACTCTACAGGGTAGGGCTGGGAATCTTTGGGTGTCTCATGATTTGATTCAGAATTCTCAATTCCAAACGATTCTGGATTCATGATTCAAAGTCTATTTATGAATTAGTCCATACTTCAGGATCTACTCCAGTCAGCTGTGAGACTGGCTGAATGTCTTGCTGCACCATTTGGCATTCTACTGAGTTTAAGAGCTAGCATTAGCACTTAGCAGGGAGTGACTGATTAGCCCAAAAAAAGAAAAGATTTTTGGAAGTTATGAATCGATTAAAAATCTCAGAAGATTAGAATCTTAATTTTTACATTAACCGTTTAGCCCAAGAGTTATGCACATGGCTGACTTGAGTTTAATAACAGCTGGACACATTGTAGCTGTACTTCTTTGCCTGTTGCTAGGTGGATCGCTTGGCTTCAAAACGCCTCTTCGGAGACCAACAGGTGACATCACTGAGACTACGACCATGTTTTATAAAGTCTGTGAGAAAATGTGATTCTGAAACCTGTCCATCTGTATTAAAGGTAACAAACATGTTTGCCTTAAGTTAATTTAATGGTATATATATAAGTAGGGTTTGTGTGTTACCAGGAAGGTGTTGCTGCAGTGTCCACAGGAGACGCGGGCTCCAGCTGGCTGGGGGTCAGGACTGGCAGGTCCAGGATGAACGGGGCCAAGATTAATTATCCTCTTACTAAAAAAAAAAAAAAGACAGAAGCAAACATGTTAAGACACACAAGGTCAACATTCCCACCACAAATGACTCCAGATAATATATTCAGCATCAATGCGAGCTGACAATCACTGCCTGGTGTTGTGAGACTCACTCTGACTGCAGGAAAGGGCTAAAGGCTTCTCATTAGAACTAACACTTCTTTTCCACAAGCAACTTCCACACATAACCACAGCTGTCCAGAATTACTGATCAGACAGCGGCGCAGAGAGGCGTCTGCTTTAGTCAGCATGTCTGGTCTGAATGCAAAACAGTGAGAGGGAATGTAAACCCTCCAGAGCAATTCAATGCAGGGAAAATACGCCTCGGAGGAAGAAATGAAAAACCTTTGGTCAACTGTAATAAAGCCAGGAAGGTCAAACGTCCCCACAGGTGCTGAACACAACCAGACAGCTATGAAAGGAAGAGTTGGTTCTTTTCTGCCAACAAATTAAAGTATCTCTTCCGACTTTAAGCGTATCTGTGACACCTAATCTACATTCCATCCTCAAGCTTTTCCAATCAAGTTGAAACCGCAAAGTCCAGATTTCCACATTTTTTATTCTCCTGGTGGAAGAAATCTGTCTGTGAATACCCTTTATATATTTGCCAGATAGTCTCTGACTGCCAATTGTTTAAAGGTAGTGTACCGTCTTCTACATCGACTCGTTGTCTAGAGACAGCTGTGTGCTACATGTGGATGCAACAAAACATTTAGTTAAATGGTCATAAAATGAACAATTTTCAGTTCCATAAATGTCTGTTAAATCTTTATCTTTTGTTCAGCAAGTTAAAGGCAGGGTTGGTCATTTTCTAAAACTAGCATGATTTTTAAAAGTAGCATTCCCTCAGTGCTCTGTCTACACCCACCCCCTCCCCTCTGTGCTCCCTCAAAAGCCACGCCCCCTCACTTACATGAACGAGCGCCGTTGATCCAGAAGCGGACCTCAGCTCATCTCTTGCATTGTGTAGAAACTACGTCGTCTCATGTCTCATTCAGCAGTAAGTAAACTCTCAGTATAAACTCTGTGAGTGTGGGCGAGTGCACACAAGACGTAGAGAACGAGCAGGGAGACAGGGAGGCGTGTGATTGGTTCATCAGATTGGTACCTCGTGGCAGACATTGGTGCAAGTTTTTTTACATGCTTACAACAGATGACAGATTTTTCTTTGTTCCTTTTTCAGAGCACATCTGGAGGAAAATTACCATCTCTGCCTTTCATCAGGCCAAAACAAATAACCGGTAAATCATTGAAGGTTTTGAGACTTTTAATTTCATCGAAAACTGGATTTTGCAGCACGATATTTTGCCAAGCAGAAATTGACTGAGAATTGTGTTATCTCAGAACTTCATGACAAAAGATTGTATGATGTGCCGTTCAAAATGACACACATTTACATAACAGCTAAAACTTAACCCCCCCCCCCCCCACCCAAAAAAAAAGCATGATGGCTAAAAATGTTGCTGTTGCACATTTTACGCCTGAGGCATAAACAACGACTCTTATCTGTCTCACCAATTACACCAGGCTGCAGCAGCATGATGTTCAGACGAGCTGCCAAAGTCATTTGCTGTGACTGACATCAGCCCGTTTTTATATGATAGAAATCCAAACACGTTGGCATCGGTTTGACCTGTAAAAAAAGTGTTTTACGGTTTTTTCGTTGAGCTTCCTCCTGACGGATGGCCCCTGAAACTTTTCTTTCCTGAGCTTTTTGGCAACCTAGTGATGAGTTGAGAAACGCAAAATGCAACACAAGAGACATTTACGACAACTTCTTGGAGCCCTTCCAGTTTTCACTTTAACCTGTTTTTGTTCTTCTGAAGCTCAATCAGCTCTGATATTTGAATACTAATGAAAATCTACTAAATGTGGATTTGGTGAGGAGCTACTCTTCAGAATTAGAGCATTTACCTGCCGAGTTGTGGATTTTTTCTTTTGCTTCAAGGTGCAAACTTTCAAAATATTTCCCTACTCTGAATAAAGTTTCACCCAACACAAACCCCATTACATACAGTACTATACAGCATTATCACCCATACAGACACTCCTCCCATACTGCTGAGGCGAAACACATGATGTGGTGTTTTTAATGAGGCTGTTATTTCCTCGCCCGGCTCGCTGAGCACTGCATGTAAACTGCAACTGGGAGCACAGCCTTAATTGAGGGACTGCTGCTCCCATCGCACCTGGTTACCTCTCTGCCTCATTTTGCTCTCATGCAGACACACAAGTTCTTCTGGCGGGCCTCGCAGTGGAGACACACACACACTCAACACACTTGGAAAAGAAAAAAAATATCTCACCAATATGGCCGGGGACAGGCGATCCTCTGGGAAGTGACTTTGCAGATGAGGAGACAGTTGCAGGGGCAGCGAACGTACTTCTTCCCTGCTGGGGCGTTCTTAATGGGCTGCAGAGGGAAACAGAGGCACACGGGGAGGAAGAGATAAGAAGCAGGGCATTAGAATGGGAGAGTCAATAACAAGCCAATTATTCCTGACAGACAAGAATTGAACCAATACAAAGTGAGGAAGAGAGGGAGAGTTTTTAGAAGTGGCACTACTGCAGTCGCAGGTTAGGAAACTTAGGGAATCATGATAATGATTGTTAAGAAAGGAGAGCAAAGGTCGTCCTGAGGCCTTCTTCTTTAAAACAACAACTTTATCTCAACCTAGTCGAAAAGATTTGGCTCGTAATTTCTTCTACGATTACGAACGCTTCTACGATATATTTGAATATTTCTGCCGCAGAATGCCGCATCAGGGTACACAAGTAACATAATGCATCAAGATATCGAGAGATGGAAATCCAGGACCAGTCCTTAATTGCCTGATAAATCTGTTACATGTGCCTTCAAGCATATTCATTCGCTATATTCATGCTGTCCTGTCTTTATGACGATCGCACATTGCTAAGCAGTGACGGAAAGATCGGGCTTCTAAGCAGCAGGAATTTTGCAACAAGGGGACATGACAGGAAGCAAGAAACGGATCACAGCAGGGCTTCATTTGATGAAGGAATCTGAGAAAGAGTGGCAGTAATCATGTCGGAAAAATCGTCTTTTATGTTTCAAGTGCAGCTGCTTACCAACTGAGCAGCACCTCCTTCATTCAGGGTCAACATCAGATGTCGATGTAACGAGTGCCAAGGGAGATTGGCGCTATTCTTCTACTGCTAAATTGTCTTCACTCTCAAGGAGAATTAAACTGTTGCTTTGATGCTTATAGCCTGTGTAAGCCTCTTTTGTACATGAGAAATTGTCTACAAGCAATTAGAATACCGATATAGACTCAGATCATTTTTAATCTAAATCATTAAAATCTTATGCTTTTCCGATCCCCTGTAAAAAATGATATCATGTACAGAATCATAAACGTAGTTTTTGAAGAACATAGTGCTCATGTATATGATTTAATGCACCAGGTGTTCGTCTTGACAGTGCAGTCTCCTTTGTAACGTCTCAGTAGGACACATGTGACTGTGGGCCCCCCGATCGGCAAGTCAAGGACAACGTTTGAGCTCACGCAGAGAACGGAAACTTTAATCTGAGTTTCCTACAAGTACAACTGGAGGAGTCCGACACCTTCCTCTGGGCTTTAATAGAACATCCTCCTGCTGTGTGTCCCGCTGATGGCTCTCCCGTCTGCGTCGTTAAACTCTGACTAACCAGATCAGATGGAGTCCTGCAAGTTTCCTGCGCCTTGATCAATTTCACTTACAACAACTGAGGGAGTTTGTTTCTGCAGAGGAACGAGAGCGGCAATGACACAGCGGAGAAAAAAACAACGCCGTGGGAACACAAGAAATCTGTAGTGTGAATTGTGGCAGCGACCAAATGTAGGTGTGTCACATATGCTGCCTGTAGCCTATCAGAGGTCTAATAAAAAAGAAGAAGGAGGAAATGACAAAGCAGCATTTATGCGACTGTCAGACTGAACGGGGTACCCTGAGGTGAGATTTTTTTTTCCCCTGGAAGATCAAAACGAGTATTACAAGCGTTTCATGAATAAAGATAAGCATCTACAGAAGCAGGCTAACAACAAACACGTGCTCAGTCCAGATCCATTAAGTAACAGGCTTAATTTACACAGTAAGCTCCCAGAATACATCTGGTATGTACAAAAACAAAGTTAGCAGATAAGATTTGACCTACAATTTCTTGGAGTAATTACCTTACAGGACACAAAAATCACAATTAGGCACACGTCCAATAATCAATCTATGGCTTGATGAAACGAGGAGATATTTTTTTTTTTTCCCAGCTTAAGCTTCTGTATTTGTAGCATGGCTGCTGTCCTCACACTCTCACAGGTGCAGACAGGGTAGATATGAGTGAGTTAGCTGGTCAGTCATATTGCGCCTTGTTTCAAACTTTTTCATTTGAGGACATTGTATTTCTTCACAACTACTAATAACAACAAATTGGTTTATGTATTATCCAGCAGCAGCGGAAGTGGAAGTTGGGGGGGGGGGGGTTCCAGGGCTGAACTGGTCCCTTAACGCCTGCAAATAGTGTCAAGTGGATTTATATTCATGTAGGAGAATATTGTTTGTGTTACGGTTGAACTGCACTGCATCATTCTAAAAATGTTTTTTCCCATATTTAGCCCATTTCTTTACAAAATCTAACCCCCAATTTCCCCCTACTCCGTGCTCGCCTCAGTCTGTCAGCGCCACGGGTTCTGAACACTCAGATGGCGCACCACCCTGCCCCCAATGGATCCGTTTCTGGATTGTGAGCGCAGCCATGATCAGCTGAACTCACACCACAGGAGAACTTCAAGATCGCTCGGGAATAAAGCGCTCAAACTACATGTTGCTTTGTCTCCCTGAGGATGGTTTGTTGATCATTTGGGGGTAATGTGCAGGTAAGTTACCTTTTTCCACAATAAACACACATGATGTCTTCAGTAATTTGAATCTTCAGTTTCATAATCCCTGCTCCAGCCATTCCAGCTCATGGTCTTAGATATTCAGCTGCTTCTGCCTCGTGTTAATCACCATTAACTCTGATTTCTTTTTTTTTTGTTGAGCTATTTCAATTAGCGGCAGCGAAATAAGCATTTAAATTGTTTATTTGCAACTACTCAATGGACTGTCATCCCTCCTTGGCTGTCAAATTAAAGCAGGGCCGCACCAAATTGTTATGTCACAACAAACAAATGCATCAGCCTAATTAAGGAGAGGGGAGTGACACGAACAGAAGGAGCGCCCCATTAACACAGAAACAGAACCAGACCAGATCAAACTTATTTGCTTGAAACAGAAAAAATAAAAAAAGCTACCCTGCAGTTATAACAGGAGCATATTTCGCCTCCTGCCCAACATCCCTCACAGATCTTCGGATCACAGAAAATGCTTGGGTTTTAAAACATGTCTGTGTGATGAAACATCAATCTGTAACTTTAACGATGCATCCAGACTGACTCCAGTCTCAATGAAACCTCAGCTATCGGTTTTTTTTTTGGTTTTTTTACAGATTTGTGTCAAAATATTTTTATTTGTAAGCCATGGCCATATTTCTGTACATATGTTCCTCCGTCTGTCGATTGCTCATATTTCCAATCTGTACATCTGGACATGCTTTATATATTTTTTCTCCATCTGTGTACTGAACAGCAGAGCTGCGAGTGATGAGCATGCATGACGCCCCTTCATCCTGTAAAATCTGACAGCGTTGGTCGTTTTAAATGACGTGCTGTTACCATCAGCTAAATTTAAATCCTAATTATTTTGGATCTTTTTCTCTGTGCATGCTGTTTCCTGCTGCGTCTAACTACACCTGATCAGTCACAGTAAGTCTGAACTGAAGTGTTTGGCTGTCATATGAGATGTGATTTTTGCTTAATTACCGACCAAACGTAAGAATGAGGCGGTTGTAAAAATAGCGTCACTCACAGTGTTCTCACTTCAGCATGTCACATGTTCTGGATCAGGCACTCCAGCACTTTGATTTAAACTTCAAACAGAAAAGATTCAGTTACAGGTTGTGAACATACTGAATTTTTTATGCGGTTTATGACAAAACATGGTATCGCAAAATCTAATGGAATCTGATCGCTAGCATCATTAAAATAAATACTCGGATGTGTTTTCACAAACTATGATGATGTATTTACAGAGAAAGAAACAAGAGTTCTGTAGCATCAGACAAGACTGTGACTAGACTTAAGATATGCAATGTGACTTGCATCAGGAAAGCCTTTAGCACCAGAATAATAATCAGATATAATTGTTAAGCTTTCAAATGTATGCAGAAGTCAAAGCTGAGCATGTTAAAGAGGATCTATACTATAAATATTGCTGAAACGGCTTAGTGCACACACAGGTTCATGCTACACTGCTTTCCCTCGACCAAAATGACCCCATTTAATTAATTTAATTAAGTAAACGCTCATAGTTTTTGATGAACCAATACAACCGCTTAACGTCTGCAAACCCGTCTTGGTGGTGGTGATTTTAAAACACTACAGAAAGTTACAGTCCAATGTCCGGTTCAGCTTTGAAACAGAAACAGTGGAACTACTTTCTACCAGTGAGGACTAAAAGTGACCTCAGTGTGAGTCTGGTGGATTATTCATCTTAATAAGGATAATGAAACTGAAAACTAATTGTGTTGAAACTCAATGACAAGAAAAAAAAAAACCCAACAACCTTAAATTACCCAAGCGCTGGAATTTACTTTTTGACCCACTGCTGTAAATGGTAGATGAAAAAAAGCTAAACTGAACTAGACTGTGTGCAGGACAGGTGTGCACCAAACACTTACATTAATACTGAAACAGCCCGCACATTGTTAACACCAAAATCTAGTTCTGGCTTGCATTGGTTTCGTAATTACCAGTATAAGACTATTTTGATACATGAATGAACCCACCAGTGAGGTGTGCAAAAAACAGGGAATGATTTCCTTATTTGTTGCTCTGCAGGTATACATCGTGGACCCAGGGTTCAGCTCTATTGTAATTAAGTGGTGAGTCGAGCGAGTTCAGCCCCGCTTCTTTCCCCTGACTTTTCCCCGCCCAGCCCCCCCGAGTAAAATGTTCACATGAAGAGCGGGATGAGCTGATGTGTGAAAGGCAGCAGGACATCTTCAGGAAAATTCAGCAGGAGCGAGTGTGAGGGGTTGATGACGTTTATCAGACGACCGGTGCAAGACTGGAGACGAGACCGCCGCTTATTGAAGCAGCTTTATAACCATTTCCTGGTTCTCAGGATGTTCTTTCTCCACTCATGTGTTGATACCGTGAATATGTCCAGTTGGCGTCGTACATATCGGAAAAAAAAAAGTCTCCGAGTTGCAAAATGCACATGAACACATATTCAAGTTTCAGCAACTATTTGGAAACTCTGGAAAGAATTAGGAGCCCGACTAGCCGACTTGACGTCATAATCGTCATCACATGGGGGTCAAAATATGTTTTGTTCACGCTATAATACTTGTTGATGAATTCACATATTGCACATCAACTTTTTGCTCAAATATAACTTGTAACAGAGACGTTCCACTCTGTTTTTTCGTTGTTGTTGCAACATTCAGACTGTCCGAACTGAACTCAGGTGAACACACTGAAGTCGTACGGACTCAGAAGCGGGACATAAACGTTCTCTGTGTGTTCAATTTTGCTGGAGTAACTCCTCTTGAGACCTACCGTAGCTTCATTGCAAACCCCACACTTCACCACGTGCTGGTGGATCTTGCCCTCCACAGAAATCAAGCTCTGGCACACTCTGCAGCTGATAACAGGGGCGCTGCCACTCTCTGGGGAAGTGAGAGGGGAGTAGGGTGGAGGGTCCTCCCCTAGCAGCACTGAGGGCTGGGTGGGGCTTGGGAATGGAGGGAAGCCTGCACAAGGCGGGAGACAGGAAAAGTGAAACAATAATGAATAATATGATAACACAACCAGTGACCATTTAATGAACTGCTGAGGAAACGCAGTTGCAAAAGTGGTGTAATGGCCCTGAAAAGAAGAAAAAAAAAAAACCTAATACTCATGACAAGTAACCTCAACGTTGTGATTAACAAGATAATAAGATTTGGTCTCGAGTTCAACAGAAAGGAGCTTTAGGAGAAAAACTCTCCTGGAATGCAGAGCAGGGTCAGTCCCAAGCAGTAAGAGTCTTGTGAGAAACAGAAACCAGAGTTAAAGAATGAGTTCATAAATGGGACGGATTAATCGAGAGATCTATTGCAAAATACTGTACAGTCTGCTCTACATTTCTATTAAGCAGGATGATAGACCGGGAGATTGTGGAAGTTACAGCTGCAGGGTTATCAATGCAAATAACAACAGAAGAATACATACAAAGTAAATAAACCCTAACACAAATACAAGAGAAAGAAATATATACATCCAGAATTTAGATTAACATTAGATAGATAGATACTTTATTGATCCCGAGGGAAATTCAAATTACTTACTCAAGTCAATCAATCAATTTTTATTTGTATAGCGTCAACTCATAACAAGTGTTATCTCGAGACACTTTACAAAAAGAGCAGGTAAAACACCTTACTCTTTGTCTGTTAACACTACAAAAGAGCAGGTAAAACACCTTACTCTTTGTCTTTTAACACTACAAAAGAGCAGGTAAAACACCTTACTCTTTGTCTGTTAACACTACAAAAGAGCAGGTAAAACACCTTACTTCTTGCTATATTACAAAGGAAATAGTCTCAAAAAAGACTAAATAAAATGAATAAGACAGAGTGTATAACTGAATGTAAACATACTTTTCTGGAGGGCAGAGGTGTAAAATGTGGTTACATTACAGAGAGTTGTGTTTACATACGTCAAAGTGCAACTAAGTGTGCAGACATGTCATCAGCCAATAATAAGAAATGATGTAATAATGAGCAGGTACACTCATTTAATGTGCAAGGATGAAATGTGCAAACTTAACTTAGGAGCAGGTCACACTTTGAAATAGACAGATGTGATCAGGGTTATTGCTTTTCTCTCATCATGCATTTCCCCCATTAATGAATTAAAAAAAAAAAAAACATCCCCTCCCTATGCGAGCATGCTATTGGTCGCAGCTCTCTGCTGGAGCATCCCTCTGCAGCCTCCCTTAATGGATCTCCCATCAGTCAATCAAATCAGGTGTTCCTCAGCTAGCTCAGCCTTGCAGTAACCTATCTTACCATCACAGTAAAAAGCACTGCACAGCTGAAACACATGCAGCAGTTAACGTCGGAATATGTTAATGAAATGCATTACTACTGTAGTTCTGCAGAGTTCTGCAAACATGCGGGGTTTGAGGCTGCAGCTATCAGGCTAGGTTAACATGCTAACACACAACGCTTCAACCTCTGCTTCATCACATGTCTGAAACAGCATTTTATCATGAAACAAGGAGATGCTCGTAGATAACCTCTCAGAGAGGTGTTTTCAGTGTACCCGCACGGACAACGCCACGAAATTATATTTGACAGCTGGGCAAGCAGGTTAAAGCAGAATGCCCAGTCAGTGCATGCTAACGTAGGAGCTAAGGCTAGCTCAGGCTTTGGAGTACATGGAGGAGAGAGAGAGAGAGACAGATGGATACTCACTCTGTGGTTTGCTGGGCACACCGTAAGGCGCCGCACCCGGAGACAGCCCGCCGGAGCCGATGCCGAGAGCACCTTCTCCCAGGTCTGCTAGTAAGGGGGACCTCTCGCCGTCCGCCATACCGAGAGCGAGGCGTGGAGGGGGAGAGTGGGGGAGAGAGAAGTGAAAGCAGACCGATACGGTGTGTGTTGTATTGTTGTGTCGTAAAGGCAGGAGTCACATGATCACACCACCACCGACGCTGCTGCTGCTGCTGCTGCTGCTGCTGCTGCGGTAACGGTGCACGGAGGTGTGGCTCAGGCTGCTCGGTTCAGGGATGAATTTGGTTTTAAATTGAGGTGTCAAAAAAAAAAAAAATGCACAAGAAAATGTTCTTTTTTTTTTTTTTTTCAATGTTGTGAAAGCAGAAGTAGGCCTAAACTTGACTTTTATGCACATCATCTTTCAGTGTCATTTTCCTGATCCTATAATAATAATAATGATAATAACTTTATTTATTTCTATAGCACCTTTTTAAAAACACAGGTTTACAAAGTGCTTTGACAAACAGCAAAAGATAAGAACAAACTAAACCAAACACAGAAGAACATAACAAAATACTAAAAAATAATTAAATACAATTCAACAGAAAATAACCCATATTGCACGATACCCAACAGACATATATAACCTCGACCATCACAAGAACCATCATAAGAACCCAGGAAACACAAGAACTCAACCCTATGTGTTAATCTTTAACTAGCACATCTTTTATATCTGACTGTTGATGTTTTATAAATTATATGGCTACCTGTTGCAGATAATCCATAATTTCTTGTGGGTTTTTTTTGTATTTACTTGTTCTATGTAAAGCACTCTGCAAACTTCATTCATATAATGTACTGTACAAAAGGTTTTTATTATATTGGTATTATTGGTATTCTTATAATTAAGTATAATTATTTGGAAGTGGTTGTAAACTGAGATGTCAAAAAAAATGCACAAATCATGTCAAATCAAGTAAAAGAACACGTTCTTCTTTTATTTTCAATGTTGTGAAAGTAGAAGTAGGCCTACCGGTACTGATTGAAATTGTTTACTAAACTTGACTTTTATGCAAATTATCTTTCCCGATCCTACATTAAACTTTAACTAGCACGTCTTTTATATCTGACTGATGATGTGATATAAATTATATGGCTACCTGTCACAGATAATCCATCATTTCTTGTGTTTTTCTTGTATTTACTTGTTCTATGAAAAGTACTCTGCAAACTTCATTTATATAATGTACTGTACAAAAAGTTTTTATTATGATTATTATTGGTATTATTTTAAAGGTGCACTGTGGATTTTTGGTAGAGAAATGTGAATGTTGTAGAAGTGTACAGATTCTGTGGTATATGTTCATAACTCTGTACACAAACTGTCCTCAGAGGAACATTTGGTCCCTGTAACACTGTTTGAAGATAAAATGCTACCTGAGAAGTTATGGTGGTGGGTCCGCAACAGTGAAACTGTAACTCTCCTGGTAGCTTTTTAGTGCCAAACATCCAGGGACCCATTTTTTCCTTTAGATAAAATGGGTGTATTTAGTTCAGAAAATATAGCAGAGAATTGTTCTTCTCCAACTTTCAAATTTCGCTACAAAATCTACATAGTGCACCTGTAAGTATATTTAGAAGTGGAATAGCTTAGGTTTAGAGATGTACTCACAAATAAAGCAAAACGTGGCCCTAACTTCTCTCAGCTGTTTCTGTGCAAAGCCAACTGAGCCCAATCTTATACTTTGGACTGTAAAAATTAAAATCTTATAACTTCAAATTTACTTTAAAAAAAATACTGAAATGAATGAACGCTAACTTTGCACCGATGTGGAAAACAGTCAGAAGGAGCTCTGATTATATTACTCGATTGTCAGCAGTGTTGGCTGGTTACAATGAGTGCTTTTTACCCTTAAGTGAATTAAAGCATGCAGGGAGAAGCGAGAACAGATTTTCGACCTATAATGTGTAGATTCAAAAATACATAGGCCTACTCTAGGCCTATGTATTGTATTGTATGTAAACTCTACCTAAAGAAGTATTTGCACTTTACGCCCAGTCCCACCTCTTGTTATGATGTTTTCTTAATTGAATCAGAATCAGCTTTTTTGCTTGCACACACGAGGAATTTAACTTCGGTGACCTGTCTGTGTCACCTTTGATTGGCTGGTTACTCCAGATGTGCATGCGCGTTTGGTGGTGTTTCAGTTTCAAGAGTTCCTCAATGTTAAATTGTTGCTTTAAAAGATGGCTAATACCTACATGATAGATTTTGACTTTTTGCAAGTCTGTATGTCTTTATTACAATGTATACATGCATGTGTATGTTGAAAATTGGTGTTTATGATAGCCACTATAAGTCAGCTACAATCTCGCCTTGTTTAGAAGCCTTTTGTCCCCTTCTTTGTTTTTTATCTTTTTATTTCTAGATTGTGATTTGTGTGTAATGGTATTATTTCATGTTGCAAACCAGCTTGCCTAAAGTTTCTCAACATATCAAGTATTTGGAATACAATTCGATATGTGTTTCCCATACAAGCCCTGAATCAAGCTCTTTCTAAAGTCTGAATACAGTGTAAGAGACTCAATTCAAAATCCAAAATCCAAAGTCCAAGTTATTAGACCTCAGTACTCGAGTAGGCATCTTTTCAAAGAAACCGAAATATTGCCGTAATTTCTCTTTCATCAAAAGATCAGTAAAGCTTATAGAACGATTTATGATATGTGGAAATCCAAATAAATAAGTCACATAATAAATCAAATAACTCGTACAAACTCACATTTTATTGGTCATCGAGTCTGTGAGCAGAGATGTGAAATGACCATGAAATTCGTAAAGAGATGGTCAGAGAAATGATAAGCAGTTTTTTCTCCATGACCACTTCACAGCGTGTGTGCTTCATCTCCTACTGTTCACTGTTTTTCACATCTATGTGTCTTTTCAATACTTGTTGGCTGTTGTCATTCATTCCTATTGCATGATGAGAAAATCCATGGGGCGTTTCATTGGCAGAGTCACCTCCAGTTCCTCCCTCTCACTGAAGAACTGAGCCTTACCCCCGGGGCTGTGAGTGGGATGTGGGAGATGAAGACCCAGTTTACTGAAAAGAGGAGAGAGGAAAAGTTAAATAGATAGCAAAAGAGAGAGAGAGTGTATATAAGAGAGGATGTTTGGAGTAGTGTGAAACAGATATCAAAGGCGAGATTATGATGTGAACCCTCTGATTAATAGAACATATCTGGAACGGGAGCTTTTGGTCTGAACCACTGATGTCTCATTTTTGAGGGGATACAAATATCAAAGAGAAGATTTTCAAAGCATCCCTTACTATTTCGGCGTCCGCAGATCAAGGAATTTTTCTTTTACATCCAGGACGACATCAGTTGCTTTAGTCTCTGGGAGTTTTATTTTCACCTACGCATGGGGGGAAAAACAGAAGCAATTCTTAATATTATACAATGAGAACATTTAATCTTCCCCTTTATCCATGAGGAAAAATGTTTTACTTGTGTTGTATCGTTCAAGTTCAGCACATTTCTCACTATTGCATATGTTCACCCCTTATTAGTTCTAGTGGAGGTTCAAAGATGTTAGAAAACTAATCAGGCCTGTAAAGGTAAAGATATTTCTTACCTGGCCTGACATACTGTATACAGAAAAAAATCAAGGTTTGTAACGTCATTCAAAAGTGATTTTCTGGGGCACTGGTGGCGCAGTGGTTAGTGCGTGCGCCCCATGTATAGAAGCTGTAGTCTTCCAAGCGGGCGGCGAAAGGTTTGAATCTGACCTGTGGCTCCTTTCCTACATGTCGTTCCCCACTCCTCTCTCCTCCATTTCTGACTCTATCCACTATCCTATCTCTCAAATAAAGGCACAAAAAAAGCCCAAAAATAAATCTTAAAACAAAAAAAAAAGTGATTTTCTAAACATGTGCATTTGACCGTCCTTGTCTCTATGCTTCTAAAATGTTGGAATTATGCACCTTATCAATTTTATATTGGCCAGCATTTTAAAAAGTGAATTGTCTTTTTTGTATCTAAAATGATCTAGAATCGTGTTATTTAGCCAGATTCCGTTTCTCTCAGTGTATCTGATCCCATTCTGCAACATTAGAATTTTTTAAGATCGATAATGTAAGTGCTTTGGATCTAAATATAGTCAATGCTCTGCAGGATGAATTACCAGCATAGCTTCACAGCACATGGAGGATGGATCCTTTCCATTCAAGCCCAAGAACAGATCTTCTGTCCCCACACTCTGCTTGAGGATTACTTCATACCTGAACACAAAGGTGTTAAAACATAATTCATTACATAAAACAAAAGTCATCCCCTGAGCATCAGAAGGGAAACAACAAGAAGAACGAAGCAGAGTGTCAGCTGAGGTCAATGAAGAGTGGAACATTTGGTGTCTAATTTTGATAAATACTTTTCAACAGGCATCTTGACCTGTACCTTTCACTCAGGTATAACCGTGGTAAAAACTTGTAAAAGACGTGGCTAGTAGGCATTTTTGTCAGGGAAATGTGGAGCAAAGTTTCAGATTTGTTGTGAGTTATACCCTGACAAGGACACGTTTGATAGGACACCTGTAGAGTGACAGGAAACAGGGATGAGAGAGAGTGGGGGATGAATCAGGACCTGAACCTGCGACCAGAGCGACAGGGACTATAGCCCTGCGCACCTGCTCTACTGAATGAGCTAAACCAAGCACCCATGAATGTTTTTTTTTGACCTCAGGAAAAGATGCAATCTTGATGGAAAAAAAATGGGTGAAAAAGTAATGAAAGTAGCTGCACAGTGTGTTCCTGTCTTACTCAGGCTGTGGCCGTGGGTCAGAAAGATCATCGTACTGCGAGCCCTCAGCCACCTCTTCCGGACTCCAGATATCTTTGCTGTCCTTCTTCATGTAGGCAGTTGACACTAAACAAAAATCAATAAACAAACACACACATTATAATGCGTCTTGCACTTTTGGACAGGCCACATGAGTTATTACAGTGACTTGGGGGGTTATGTGAATGTATAATGCATTACCTTCTTTATCTTTTTTGGGCAGGGGGCCAATATGTCCAGGACCAAGCCGTGCAGACGATGTCACATTCTGTTCAGATTAAGTGATGTTAACGTAATCCACAATATTGTTCAGTCTTTGATTCAAACAGACACTTATTGCACCCATTCATTCAGTCTGTTGTAAAAATACTGATGAGCTGAAAAACAATAATAAAAAAAGCATATGCATACATATGCAGAAAAGATAGCCAATCTTCTTTGTGCGTTTTTCTTAATATTGTTCTTGTATTAATTTGAGACTATGCTTTAATTATATCAACTATAAAATGTATACTAAAAGACAATCAACTCATAAGAAAAGTGAATGAGATTCAGTTCATAAAACTTACTTCACATTCCTCCTCCTCCTCCTGCTGAGTTGATAATAAGGCAGAAAGTGCCTGCAGGTGTTGAGCCGATGATACTCCAAGAGACTCCATTCAGAAAAATATAAATGTATTAAATCTTAAATTAAACCTTCTCAAATCTCAGCAAAGCAAACAACTACAACAGCAAACAGATTTAAAAAAAAAAATGAGGCACAAAATCTCCAGTAAAAGAAGCTAATGCTGGTTGAACGTAATGGCCTGTTGCAGCTGACGCTTTCCGTTGCCTTGGAGATGACCAGACAATCCGTCGGCCCTGGAAACCGATGACGTCACACAGAAAAGGAAACCCTCGAGAATAAATCAATGTGATGAATTAATAATGAAAATTAAAGGCTGAATACTAAAGTGTAGCGAAGAGAAACATTACCTGAAAAAATGAACACACAACAAATAATAAATACAATGAAATCTAACTTCCGGTTTTGGAGAAGTTTATTTAATGTTCAGGAATATCTGGACTAGACACTGATCAACACTCAATAAATATGGAAAAGCTATTTATTTTATGTAGAAGTAGGCTATATAAGCATTAGTTATTTATAAGTTACATATAGCCCATTATTAATAATAATATTAACAAATTACTTTAAAAAATACATATAGCCTATTAACACAACATGATTGTATGAATGTGTACCATCCGTTTGCTACAAACTGATTGAAGTGGAGCTGAGAGTAACTTATGGCGTTTTATAAAACTCTAATTATACAGTTTTATCCATTTCAAGGCATTATGTATTGTTTTTAAATGTATTTAATTAATAAAAAATAAAATAATTCGGCCTAATAGCCTATTTAGTCTGCAAAGAAACTGCCACATAAAGTCAGTAAACGCGAAAACATTTACCAAATGAGTAAATGAAAACTATAAAAGAGCACAACACTGAAAATATTTAAGTCTGTTTTTTTTTCACATAACTGCTTATAAATACCGTATAAGCCCTAACAATATTTTTTATATAACATATATAATATTCATGAATACTAGGCTGCTCAATTTGCAATCATAGTAATAAACATTTACGCGTAAAAAGTGTAATAACTTTATTCAATCTATCAAGTCAACCAACCGGCTGAATGAGTTTCGCTACGAGTAGTGTTCCTGTCCCTTCTCGGACACCGTAGTTCATGCATGGCTAGATGCGATCATGTTGAAGGTGACAGGTAGCACGATGCCGGGTGCTCAGAGTCTGCTGCCGGTCACTGTGTACGCTGCAGCCGGTGACGAGGAGAGCGGGACGACCACCCCGGTCCACCGGGACCAGCTGTCTTTATACACGGCTCCTGAGCCCAAGTCTCGGTATGTGGAGCCTGAAGCGGGTCAGCTGGAGGACACTGTCGCCACCCTCAGGAACTTTCTGGAGCCATACAAGGACTGGTGTCAGGGAACTTATGGCCAAATTAAACCCAAAGTTCAAAGTGTGGTCCGGTTTGGGAATGACACCTACAACTTCTTGAAGAACCCACCCCAGGACTTCTACCCCCGGGCGGGAGTCATAGCCTTCACCGGCGCCCTGGGGCTGTTTCTTGGCAGGAGCTCCAGGGTTAAGAGGCTTATTTACCCTGCGGGCCTGGTGACCGTCAGCACCTCCTTGTACTACCCGGAACAGGCTGTCGGGATCGCAAAGTCAACCGGAGACTCCGCGTACGAGCGCGCCGTGCAGACCTACGCTGCCGTGGAGAAGATGCTGAGGCCTGACAACAAACCGGACAACGGGAAGGACCCAACTAAACCCTGAGGAGCCCCAAAATGTGACCCAGCGACAACACAGCAATAAGAAATCAGCAGCATTTCCTGATATTGTAGATTGACGTGTGCTACTTTAGGAGAGCAGTGATGTGTGCGACTTCCTCATGCCCACTTTTTGTTTTTTGCACTATGCTTCACATGTTAACTCAGGCCGGGCATGGTCTGTCACATGGGGTTTGCAACTTGACTGAATGACTTCTGCCTTTGATCTGAATGTATATTTATGTAGAGAATTAATTAAAAAATAATACAGCTGTCTTACACAAAAATGAAAGAGACTTTTTTTTTCTCTCTAGGATAGATACATTTGATGGATTAAACTGCGACTGGACCGATGTCTAAAATAAGTAGAAAGATATCAACTATTTAGCGTCTGAACTTTGAGACCAACACCTCTTACATGTGTTTTCTTTTAGTCAAACAAAACAATACTTATGAAACTATTCTAAGTACCAAACAAGTGCACACACTGATTATGAACAGAGTTTTTTTGCAGCCTTATTATCAACAAATTCATCCTTGTTTATATTTAATCAAAACATTTTAGGCCTCCAGTGTAATTAGTTTAAATAAACATGCTCAGGAAATGAAGTAACATTCAATATCAAACCAACTTTCATTACTTGTGTGTGAATACGATATCGCCAAAGAAATCAGTGTCTGGAACTGTATGACTGTTTTACGTCTTTATTAGTCTCAGCCAAAAAAAAAGAAGAAAAAAAAAGTACACAAAATTAAATATGAATCACTTTATAGAAATCCCCTCAGAGCAGCACCAGCTTCTCATTTAGAGCAATTTGTGCTTGGGTGAGGTTAGACAGGTAAGTCACCATCAACAGATCCTGCAACAACAAAACAGAATTTACATGATTTCTCTTACAATGTTATTCAAAAAGGCATAAAATGATGCTCCTTCAACAAGAGTTAAAGACAAAAAAAGGTCGGGGAGCACTAGACTAAAGCGATAAAATGTACACTCAATGGATTGCTGTGTATGCTTGATGAGTACTTAGTAGAGAAGTATTGGACAAGTTGAGCCAGGAGAGCACTAAACATAGGAAGCAAAGCCTGATTAAATGCTTCCTGTAATGTGTGTGCCAAAGTGCTGAGAACAAGACGGAGCGCAGCGAGTAAATCAACAGTGGAAGACTGGAGGAGATGCACTAAAACAAACGAGGAAATACAACCCTCAGGAGTGACTGAAGTGTTTACATGAGACATTAACCTATTTTCAAGCTGATGAGATGCACTTACATTGATGTTGGAGTTGAGCATATTCTCAAAGTCCTCGGCTGAGATGGTGGGCACCTTGTTGACCAAGTCCATCAGGAAGCGGCCCACGCTGTTATCTGCTGCTACTTTACCGGCCTGAGAGACACAACAGAATTCATTTTACAGCCATAATTAGTTTTGAGTTTAATTAATCTACAGATGATCTCTTGAGACACAACAGATTCATTTAAAGCAGAAACACAAGAAAGGCATTGCGTTATCATTCTGTACATATCAAATGAATAGTCTGACACTCACCAGCACATCCTCAATATATGCAAGCACGGTGGTCAGCATGTCCTGTACTCTGGCTGCAGAGCACCCAACCTGGGATAGATCAGAGGTCAGCCCCTTGGTGCGATTCGGAGTGACTCGCGACCTCATTAGGAGATCCACTGTGAAAAGATAAAATAAGATAATCCTTTAGTTATCCCACAATGGGGAAATTTACAGTGTTACAGCAGCAAAGAGCAAAGACTGCAGACACAAAGTGAACACAGCACAATTTAAATTAAAAAAATAAAAATTAAGAATGTACAAAAAAAATAGATTAAAAAAATAAAAAATAGATCAGCTATTGACAAAAGTGTAGTCCGAAAAAGATGCATGTTTAAGAGTACAGCACTAAAACCACGGGCTTAGTACTACAGGTACACAATTTAAATAATTTGATTAACTGGGAATATACACTATAGGCAGTTTTTATGTTGACAGTTGATATGCACACAAATAATTTGTCACTTTCATTTTGTTGTATTCTTACCTCCTATCCTCTCAGTGTCATAGTAGACATACTTGACAGTCAGCGGTGTGAACATCACACCAACTGTCTTTCCTGGCACGCCCATCTGTGCACTGTGGACGAGACGAAAAAAAACACACGTTTAAACACACACTTGGTTTGTGATTGGGATATAAACATAGCTTATGTGGCAGGAAGATCAGCCGACCTGACGTATGCTCGGATGTTCATCTTGCCGCTCTGCAGAGCTGTGTCCATGGTCAGGTGGATGGGGTTGGTGGCCTCACGGCTGTAGTACTCATGGATGAGCACCGAGTGCTCTGTGATGTCGAAGCCTGTGGCATACCTGTAACGACAGATATAAACGTTGTAAGAGAGAAATGATCCCGGTCTGATCCATGGAATCAAAATCTTATCAACTGACGCACCATCCTATGATGACCTCAGTGGGCGACACCCTCTTGTGGAGCTCGTACATGTTCTTAGCGAACTCCATGTCCACCGCAACCTGATGGCAAAGAGGGTAAAATCAACATATTTTTCACTTCTTACACCACTATTGTGGGAAAAGACCAGAGGGATTTATACAAGTATGTCCTGCATATATAAACATGCTACCCCATGACATTTTCAGATGCCTAACAATAAACTTAAGTGTGTCATTCCATTATTCACCATGCAGCTTATCATTTAGTATTTGCCTACTTGCACATAGTTCTGTATATATATATATTTATTTCTTGTTTACTGCACATAGTTATGGTTACATCTGTTAGTCCGATCACTGTCCACTTATATCTACTCTTTTATAATTTGTATTTTTAAGTTAAGTCTAAGCTTTAAGTTGTATTTAAATTGACACTTTATATTTAGGTTTCGTTTACTTGCACTGTTTTACTCTTTGAATTGCCCCCCGGGGACAAATAAAGTTTTTTGAATTGAATTGAAATGTCCTGTAGAGTTTTAGTATTATTACTAGTTAATAGGCGGACCCTTACTTGTTCTATCTATTTGTATTTTATTAGAACTCATATGCATGCTCTTGGCTTTATATTCCTGCAACACTTGGATTCCCCCTCTGGGAATCAATACAAGGATGATCGTATGAGATGAGATTCAACTTTATTGTCATTACACATATACAAGTATAGAGTAACGAAATGAGGTTTGGCATCTCACCAGAAGTGCAAATAAGCAGAAAGTGCAAGAGTCTGTGCTATGTACAGTAATTACAAAATTTACAGATGTAGACTAAAAAAAGTGAATTATTAGGTATATCTGGATGGCTGGATTAATGGGATGCTATAAATATAAATAAATGCTATAAATATAGTATTGTTAGGATTATAATATACAGATTAAGGTGCAGTGAGCATGCTATACTGGTTTACAGATAATATAAAGAATATGGACATATTGTACAGGTCGATAACTTATAATAGGTGTACTGCATCAACATTTAAGATTTAAGATCTACAAAGTTGATTTACCCCTAGAATAAAATAGAATAGACGTTTATTGCCATTTGCACAGGTACAGGACGGTACAGGTACATCGGAATTATTATGCGTTTCTCCCCGAGTCAAATTCTACAAAACAAAGTTAAAATTATATATAAAATAGAATAACATTATAAGAAAAAAAGAGTAGAACAGTACAAAAAAAAGAAAAAATAACTAAGTTGTAGTAACAGATAAGTGATTTAAAATAAACTGCACAGAAGTTATACTCTGTATTAAAGCAAAGATATAATACAAAAAAATAACAAAGGGGAACACTGTACAATGAAATGAAAACATAAATAAGTTTTCTTATTGCACTTATCTCTTTTTGCACCTGAGGTTACTGCACACACATTTCTCACATGATTTACCTGCACAGTTTGTTTTTAAGGTTAACACTGCACACTTGTATTGCACTGTGAGGTGGAACACTTTGGTGACATACCTCGTCTTCAGACTCATTGTGGGGGACAGAGAAGCAGTTGGTGACCTCGATGGAGTGCTTCTCAATAGTACCTGAGAGAGACAAAGTGTTGTTAGTGATGAGGTAATGCTGTGAGGTTAACCTCCCCTAGCATTGTTAGCTGCATAACAACACTGAAGAATAACATTACCAGCCTCATTACAACATTACATACTGTTACACCAGAGTCCATATGGAGCACAATAGTGTCTTTATAATGCTTAACGACTTGAGTTACAGTCAATATTTCTATACGACATGTTATCCAGCTGTTAAAAGTGATGTTGCTAACGTTAGCGAGCTAGTTAGCTTACCTTCACTTTACTGAAACTAGCAGCATGCGTTAGCTAGCATACAAGCTAACAAGCGCTAGCTACCCATCACATGTTGACACAGAGGGGATGAATAAACCCGACACATAAAAACACATGTTG